TTTGTTTGTATGCGTGTGTGTGTGTGTGTGTGCGTGTGTGTTTGAAATATCAGTTTGAAATATCAGTTGCTTGTAGGGTTCAGGGGATCTCGTAGTCGAGCAGTCTCGACTAGAGCTTTCTTTCTTGTTTTAACCGAATTAATTACTAAAGTCCTACCAATAACCAATCAAACAGTTAAAACCCTCCGTTTCAAGTTAAAAACGAATGAACCAAAAGAGCTATAAGAGAATGCTTAGGAATCATTGGATAAACATATTAAACTATTAGAGAACATATCCTTGAAATGCAAAAACTTAAATGAAATACAATTACAATTAAGCTAACCTAAACATATATTCAATACGAATTTAAATACTTGCATATTACTCAAACTGAAGATCAATCATAAAGAAAACAAATGCATATTCTATTCGACATACTCGAATTAAAGCTCTGTCTAAGGCAAGCCACGATTTTAATTTGATATACGCAACAGTAAACGCTGCCAGCTTTGATACAACTTTTCATTTATAGATGGCAAAAACTAAACGAACAAATTAATGAATTAAGTGTAATACGAATAAGAGGTGAAGCAATTCAAGCATATCCCAAAATAGTCTTCAGTGCATCAAGTGGTTGTCTATGATAAATGTAAATATCTTGCCCTATAGCAGCCAAGGTATGAATTATACGATATTAAGCTAGACACAAAGCCAAACAATCAACGAAAGTTATACAAATTATACTGCGTGCTATATTAGCTCCATTCTTGGTTATCTATGTATCTATTAGATATATTCGAAATATTTTAGTGTGCAACTCGATGTCTCGTATCCATAATACCCACATATGAAGCTAACTGATATCTAACTAATACTAAGTTTATTTAGCGAAATTTTGCATCAGCCCAGCCTAGCAGCCCAGACCCATAGTTAAATGCTTACCATTCCATTAAGTAGCGATGCGACTTATTAATGATATCTGATTAATTGATGGACGTTTTTGCTCTTTCGTTTCGTTTGGCCACAGAGACGAGGGCTCCAAAATGATTTTAGTGGTAGCTTGTGTATGAGCACGGGCCAATTCAATTGTACCTATCTTTTGATACCGTTTACTACAAAACTAAGGACTATAATCTTATTAAATTGTATATCTCGTTTGATGCAGCAAAGACCAATGCAACAAATCTATCTATATGATAAATATATATATATTAATATAATTTGTAACTTGACGCAGATGGAATCTAGTATGATGATCTTATACATTTCAGTCTGTTCTACAAGTGGTAGAGACTATATACATACATATATATACACACGTCTATATGTAAAGCATGCATAAATATACATACGTACGCATATATGTGCAAATAATATCAAGAAGTAATAATTCAACATTCATATACAAATCACACACAACATATACATATATTTATACATAATCAAATTATAATTATACTATATCATATGATACAAGCAAATTATAAAATTACAGAAGAGTTGATACAATAAATACAAAATAAAACACATTCACGGAGTTACCCAAGAGTGTTTAACTACTTGAATACAATTTAATGTGAGCTAGAATTTCAGGATCTGAACCAACTCCAAACTGAAACAAATACTCCAAGTGCTCGTCGTATAAAATGTACTTTTATTTCAAGATCAATAACCTTAGCAGCAAACGTAAGCTTATACGTGGAACACAACAACGCATGCCATCCTATATTCAGTTAAACTTATGAGATAAGCCCGCGTACAAGATATATGTATAAACGTATTTCCAACATCCAATGACGAACACAACCATGGATAAAGTGAATCTTCCTGGAGCAGAGATTTAGGTGGGGTACAGAAGAGCATTGGGGAAGAGAACAGAAGTTTTATAGGTAAAGTGGCAAAGCAAAGCACAGAGCAGAGAGAGAGAGAGAAAGAGAGATGAGGTGCCAGATCGCCTTCAAAGTGCCAAGGGCTTATCGAACTCAGTGGTGATAGTAGGCGTGAGGATCGCCGGCAGGGCCAGGCAGGGCGGCTGGGTAGTGGGCGTACGGCGAGTGGGCTAGCGCTGGATAGGCGGCTTGGAAGTGTGCGGTGGGCAGGTGGGCGGGAGCCACGGGTACGGGTGCAGGAGCGGGAGCAGGAGCCGGTGCAGGTGCTGGTGCTGGAGCGGGTCCCGGGCCAGCACGGTGCAAGGCGGTCAAAGCGAAGGGATACGAGAGCAACGGCAGCGAGGCCTTGGGCACTGGCGGCAAAGGTGGTGCAGGTGCGGGTCCGGGCAGCAGCGCATGTGGTGCAGGTGCGGGTGGCGCCACTGGCTTGTAAGCCAGCGGCTCCTTACGCACCACCGCATTGAAGCCATGATGTGGATCGGCAGTGTAGTCAACGGTGCGCTTGGTGCCGTCGGGATCCACCACTGAGTAGCTGCCCTTGACCACATCGCCGTGGCGTGTCTCATGCTGGCTCTTCAAGTCGCCCGTATAGCCATCCTGTATGTCGTATCCAAAGGAGTACTTGGGATCAGCGTCGTACGGCTCCGGTGCAACGGGCTTGGGTGCTGCAGAGGCACACGAAACTCAATCACGAAAACTTTCTTAGTTTCCCCACTAGCTCACCTGGTGCCGCGTATTGCGGTGGCCCGTGGTGTGGACCATAGCCCGCATAGGTGTGCAAGGGTCCGGCTGGGCCGCCATAGTACGGCCCAGGTCCTATGACGCCGGCGCAGGCAATGCCCAGCGCAGCGCTCAGCAGAAATATCTGCAAAGAAGACAAGCGCCAATGATTAGCTCCCATATAACTTTGATTAATTGCCACAGAATTATTTAATTGATTTCAGCATTATTTAAGCATCTTCTCCTCATTCTAGTCACACCTTTAGCATTGCAGCGCTTCGATGTCCTAGCGCGTTTCTCCACTTGTCTATCCTTTAACTGGTCCAAGCACCGAACACCACTTGGAATGTGGCTAACCGACTTTTGGATGGGAGCACAACGAAGAAGAAACAACAACTGCAAACGTTTCGATGGCGTTCTGGCAATTTATAGTAAAAACTGGCGGCAAATGTCGCCTGCTTCACATGGCGCAAAAGACCAAGCGAACAATAAACTAATTGAAGATCAACGCTAAGCGCCAAGAGAGACCAGTTAACAGTCCCGCACTGATCATGCCACATGGCGCGCAACAGCCAATAACACCAACAACAGCAACAACAACAACAACAACGAGTTAGTATATATGTATTAGTAAGACTGGGCAGCCACCTGGCTATGCATCGAATCGTGTGTCTGGGTTCAACTTCGCTGCAGCGGCTTAGAAAGGTTATTCTTCCGCTTAGCCGACTAAAGGGACCTGGGTAGAGCCGCTGTTGCTGTTGCCCTTTCACTTTTTGCGATTTTCGGCAGTTGTGTGAACGTTTGCCGCGCTCCAAACACACAATTGAAATGTTAATTTATTATGGGCCAGGACTTTGACCAGGCTTAAACGTTTGTAATTAGTGCCAGCTCCATTGGATATTCAATTCCAAACGAAATGGCAGCCGGCATTCGGCAGTAGCGACAACAGCTTCGCGCATGCGCAAAAGGTCAGGCAGTCGACAATTAAATTACAAGAAACCAAGAGCTTCGCTCCAGCAGCCGCCAGACACAAAAAGCGAAAGGTCAACTTGCCCACAGCTTAGGCAACGCCGCATTTGTGCCCTGGCCCACTCACATAGTCATGCTGCACCCCTGCCACCCCCCACCCTGCCCGGCCGAGCCAACTCGAAGCCGTTAGCCAGAACGAATAATGTCACTTGTATCATGTTCACTGAGTGCACTTAATTTATGATCACAAATTTGTTGCAAGCCGCAGATCTGCAAATCCATTGACAGTTCCAGCCATTGTAGTCCGCATCCAGTTTGGTATGTGACAAATATAGCAAGAAGTCGTGCCGCTATTCGACTGATCGAGACAATTGATCACAAGACAATGTCGATTTGCAGTTTCCTTCTCATGTTGTGCAAGTCCAGTCAAGGTTTAATGGAAACCTCTGTAACGAGCCGAAGAAAGCAAAATGTGACGATTGGTTATATCTGAGGTAAAAGTCTATTTATATGATTGATTATTATTATAGCTGAAGATCTAATACTTAATTCTAATATTACGAAATGAACACTAAGCGATCGAGTTGGTATTCGGATGTATAAATATAAGTATATTTTATATTTATTTATTTATCAATCAAACATTCACCCCTAAGAGAAACGTTTCATTAGTATTTGGATATTTGTATACATTTATTTATTTATTTATTAACCACTGCAGACAGCAGAACCCTTTAATATTTTTAGCTGAGGGTTACAGGCACAGTTGCCGTTTAAGACAATTACTTTTATAACCTATTCGTGCCTAAAGCCGACGACAGCTATCTCTGGCATAGTTTCTAAGTCGTTTGAGTATCGCTTGAAGTCATCAAGCTGCATTCCACTTTTCATTCCCTTATTGCCTTATTAAAATACTAATTTCCAATTGATGATTTCATACCAGTTAATGGATTCCCATAATGCTCTTGCAGTTGTGGTAAGAATGTCTTTGGGAAAGCACATTGCCTACGCAGTTTCATCTGTTTAGTGTCCGTTTAAGCAAATATTTAAATACATTCGATTTTAGTATATATATTATCTCTAATGTAGATTAATTTTTTTTTTAATTAATCTTTATTAAAATAATATTTTGACTCTCAAATATATATATTGTAAATCTGTTCAGTCGTTCCCCATGCTTGTGGTCGATGTAATGTGTCTTGGGAAATGAGTTGGATGAAAAATATGTTTTATGATGCCCTAGAAAAATTGGTAGCTGACTGAGTCCCTTCCCATGGATATGAAAGCAGTTGACGCTGTGTTGCCAAAGTGGGTCAGCTGTTTTTATTGGTGTAAAACATGTGCCACAGTGATAGCTCGCTTGTAATGTTATTAAATTTACAGCGCCGATTGAGTGTTTAAGCGGCAACTCTCGGCGCATTTGGTCAGTCCATAAATGAGACTTGTGGGTAGATGTCCGGCCGATGTGAGCATGGACTTCAGCCACGTTTTAGAGACCTGCGGAGCATTCGGGCGCTTTCAGCATGTGATCCTGCTGCTCTATGGCTATACGAACATACTCAGCTCGCTGCACTACTTTTCGCAAACTCTGATCACATTCACTCCGGAGCACTGGTAAGGCGGAAGGGATTCGGTTCGCGAGCCGTGTTTAATAGTGCGCTTGGTCTAGGTGCTACCATGACGATCTAAAGAATCTGAACTCCTCAGATCTTCGCCAGATATACGCAAACGTGACTCACAAGTCCTGCACCCTGCTGGAGGCAGTGGTCAATGGCACTGGCATTGCAGCGAGGAGCGGGCACTGCCAGAGCTGGATATTCATGCGAGAGCAGGGCTACGAGAGCATCACCACCGAGGTGAGGAGGACAACTCGTTAAAGACTCTTTGAGATAGGCTAATATTCATTGCAGCTGAAGTGGGTCTGTGACAAGTCGCACCACGCGGCCGTGGGGCAGTCCTTCTTCTTCCTTGGCTCCGTTGTGGGCACGGTGATATTCGGAAATCTGTCGGATCGCATTGGACGTCTGCCGGCGCTACTGCTGGCCACATTGGCCGGTGCATCGGGCGACTTTCTCACCTCGTTCGTGTATAGCTTTCCATTGTTTGCGTTCTCCCGCTTTGTCTCCGGACTCTCCACCGACACCATGTACTATCTGATGTACATTTTGGGTGAGTATCTCGACTACAGTATTGTATGACAGTATACGAATAAACGGTTATATACGGTGGTCAGTATTCGAGTACCTCAGTCCCAAGCGCCGCACCTTTGGGCTGAACATCATCCTCGCCTTCTTCTACTGCTTCGGCCTGATGACCTCCCCCTGGCTGGCCATCTGGATAGGCAATTGGCGGCATTACTTGTGGCTGGCCTCGCTGCCCGCTCTCGGGGTGCTCGCCTACCCGCTGCTCATCTGCGAGAGCGCCCAGTGGCTGCTCACAAAGAGGAGGTACGAGCGGGCCGTGCAGTGCCTGAAATGGGTAGCCAAGTTCAACGGGCGGCAGGTGGAGGACTCTGTGTTCGACGAGTTCGTCAAGCACTATCGCGAGAAGGCGCACGAGGAGCTCAAGCTGACCAGCGATGAGGACACCTTCATGGGCATGTTCAGAACGCCGCATCTGCGACGATGCACGCTCTCCCTGCTGCTGAAATCGTGAGTTCTAGCTGGTGAGCTCCTAGTGCCAGCCCTTGATGATGTGTTTCTATTCAGGGTCATCATCACACTCTCTTATGATGTGATCAACCGCAATATGGAGGGACTGGGCACCTCGCCCTTCAAACTGTTCTCCTACACATCCATCAACTACCTGCCGGCGGGCTGGACCATTCTGCTGCTCCAAAACAACATCGGACGGAAGGGCATGGCCTGTGGTGCGCTGCTGGTGGGCGGCATCATAACCACAGTGACGGGCTTCCTCATTGCCTTCCTGGACCCCAAGGAAAACGCGCTCCTGCTGGCCGTCATGATCGGCCTGGGTCGCTACGGCGTGACGGTCTCCTACGATGCGGAGATCCAATACGCAGCCGAGATAATACCGACCAGCGTACGGGGGCGAGCCCTCTCCAACATACACGTCGTTGGGCTGGCCTCCAACTCGCTGGTCTTCTATGTGATCTACTTGGCCAAGTTCTATAAGCCCTTGCCATCCATCTTCATAAGCTGTTTAATGTTCATCGGCGCTGGCCTTTGCCTGACTCTCCCAGAAACTCTAAACAGGTGCGCCACTCAGCTCTATAAAAATTATTCATTTCAAATGGATTTTCTAACTTACAGAAAGCTGCCGGAAAATCTGGCCGAGGCGGAAACTTTCGTTAAGCCAGCCCAACGCTTTTCCCTGTGCCCCAAGAGAGAAAAAATCTCTTCGACGACAATCTAATGTTCTTAAGTTGAAGCTCACATTTGCAATCTTCAGGGCACACACATACTATGTATGCATTGTGTGCTGGCAGACGATATGGGTAATTTCATTGAATATCGAACGAACTGCGCTTATCTGATAAGTATCAATATTAATTGCTTAAGATTAAACTGATTATTCATAAACAAAGCCGTGACTTTAACTTCCTATTATTTTCACATTTGTAAGTGTTTGACCCAACTTTGGAAAAATCGTGGAAGGCAACTCCAAATTGACTCAATATTTGCTGTGAGTGACACCTGACTAAACACGAATATTATTATTTGTAATGACACGAATGAGCACGAGCACGAAATGTTTTGGATGTATTTTAACAACTCACTTGTACAAACACGCTTTTGCTATCATAATAGGCGAAACATTATAATAAAAATGTAGGCATGAAACAGCAGAGAACAGCCCTAAATAACTAAGCAAAATATTTAGATTTTCGTAAGCAAAAATGTTTGTTCGTTTTCCAAGTTTACCTAATACGAATCATCCGATTTCTATCGAAAGGATGCATATCTTGGCTAGGAGGCAACTGCCAATTATGTAGAGTTGACTTTCAAAGAGTGTTCAGAGAGAGTTTCCATAATGTGAATAGTAAATGTTTATACTCATTCATAAAAAATAAATGAGTATATTGGTTTTTAGAGTTTTTACTTATTAACGCTTTCGCGAATAAATACACGCCTGCTCCTACTGGGGGCGGGGCAGTCCAGGAAAACGATATTTAATAACAAAATTACTCTATTGCTTACAAATTGGGCAAATCGGAATGATTACTTCCTTTCAATCTTATAAAACTTGCGCCGTGTTGCCCGAGAGTAAGTATCCTGCAGTCGATAGGGTCCGACTGTTTGTTAAAAATGTTTACAAAAGCAATTTATATATATATTGTTATTATCAGATCAACAAATGAATGCCTGCATCTTATTTGTTGCTTGCAAGCAGCTCGTTTACGCGGCCTTGACTGTTTGCAAATGAAAAGAATGCAGCGGGTGGGCGGCATTAAATTGTCGAGTCGACACCGAGCGATACGCACGCATAAATACTGTTAGCTATATAATAACTGTGAGCGTATCGCATCGCATGCTAAACAATTTCGAGCTCGCCAATTTCAACGGACAAAATCTATATTTATCTATTTCAAACGAAATAGCGTCACATCGAATGCGATGCATTTGTTTTCGGCTGAGAGTCGCCCGGGCTCGCGTCTGGGTCCGGGTCCGTGCCCGACCATTCAACATTTCAAACTTGACTTCGGCGTGCTGCAGTTCACGTTTCAAGTACTCTGATCGAATTATCAACGTAGCAGCTGTGGCGGCCTCTCCCGAGTGCGGGTTCAATTCGAACGGCCCTCAGCTGTTTCAGATGTGTTTCAGAAAATCTGTTTCTTATCGTCGATTTCGGTGCGAGAAGCAAAATACAATCCACGTAGCCATTTCTTATACATGAGCCGATTCGATAAGTCAGCCCAGTCATACACAGTTCGAATATTACCGAGCAGAGAAACTTGAATTAGCAAGTGTTATTACAGTAAGTTCCCATTGGATATGTGGCAGAAAAGGTCATAAATTAAAGTAAGATATTAAAAAAGTTAATAAATAGTATATTTTAATTTCAATTATCTCCTTTCCATAATTAGCAAGTGATGTACATTTCGACTAGATGATGGATTGTCATAAACAATGAAAATAATTTTGGATTGCTGTGTCTAAGTCAA